CAGAGAAGCCAACTATTTGGTCTTTCTTAATTTTAAAAATATGAGATCCATTTTCAGAACATGGAGCTGTTAAGTTAGAAGGAGAAACATTAACCAAAGCTCCATTCAAGACTGATAAGTCTCCTTCAGCAATGCTACCATTTCCACAATTTGAGGATGTGATTATCTGATGTGGTGAGTCAGTAATATCTTCATCACCACTCTTCAGCTGGACTTGTACAATGCTATTGAGTTCTGCCTCTGTTGATGATTTATTCATTCTAACTCTGGCTCGTTTCACCAAGGGCAAGTGTTCATCTCCATCTTGGTCAGAGCATCTCTCTTTTGAATTTCCACTCATACTCAGCAAAGTTTGACTGGCACTCTGAGCACCAGCATCATTAGTTTCTTTCTTCCTATTTGGTCTTCTTTTCTTCTTACTGATTACAGTCTTTATTTCTAGATGAAGGCCTTTGTTCAAATCATCTTCACCTTCAGTGCACTCAATAGGCTCAGGCTGTTCAAATTTCAAGTTAGAATCTATTGTACTTCCCTCATTTGAAGTAAATGCATCAGAATTTATGGTAATAATTTCAGAACCATTATCCTCCATGCTAAAATTTGAGGCAAATGCAAGGGAATCAGCATCATCACAACCTAAATGGTCCGGAGATTTCCTGATACGTTTACTCCTTCGTACATCCATATTCTGCAATGCATCAGCCAATACATTTCCATCATTATTGCCACCACCATTATTTCCATCATCACTACAAGGTACAACAACGTCTTGGACCTGTAATGTGCTTCTAGACCTTTGAACTGGTTCATTTCTCAGGGTAATCGGAAAAGGTGATTTTACAGTTACATCGCCAACAGCTTTATTGGTAGGTTCATCAAATGATGCCTCTATATTATAAGATTCATTCCTCAACACAACAGCATCCTCAGCTGCACAAACTACCTCAGGTCTGTCAATCACACAATTTGAAGATTTTATTTGTGAATTAATTGCCAAAGGAGTCTCAATCTGATCCTTTAACCATACATTTGCAGATGGATCAAGTGGATTTGATATATTTGCAATGGCAATTTCACCATCGGAGCTAGTGTCATCATCTAGATTCTCACACTTCAATTTTTCATAACTGTCAATAATCTCCTTAACCGCACGTGCAAAATCAGCACCCCTTCCTGGACGTTTAGCAAGAGATTGTTTCTTCTCTTCAGTAAATGCTTCTACATCGGCAGGATTACAGAATGCTCTGCAAAACCAAATGGCATTCCAAACTAAGACAACTTGCAAGCTGAATTAAATTACAGCTTGGCTTGTACATGGGGAAATAACTAAAATGTTAAGAGAGAGACTCGGCAATGCAACACAGTTTTGAAAAGTCTTACAGTTAGCATAAAAATAAAACGTATCCAAACAATGCACATTCATTCAATGAAATCATGTTAAGAATAGATATTAAAATTTCAACACCTTATTTATTGTCCTTCCCTCTTCAAGTTGGTGTAAATCACTTCCTTCCCTAAATCAGTATGAATGTAGAATGATTTAATCAAATATTAACTCACATCATACCTTGGTTAATCATAACCAATCCAGTTAATATATTTTCACAGGTATAATAACTATGTAGAAATTTGTACCTTACTTGTAGTTATCAATTATCTTTAATTATAGGAGAATGCCAATAACAAAATATAGGAAAATTATTCCAGAACCTCTACTGCTCATCTTATTGGAGCCTTTACAGGGGCTCTAGTGCAACTGTCCTTCCTTTTTCTCTAAGCCCAAGGCCTCCATCACTGCAACAGCCTACTCTGTAGTACCCCCTAAATACTCCAAATTCAGCCTAACAAAATTGAGGACTGCTGTACAACAAACTGGATGGGAAAATTTATATAACATTGGACAAGACTGGTGCTAACTTTATATAGGAAGCAGAGGCTTCATCATCTGTGACAATCCACCTTAGAGTAAAGATGAGAAATTCAAAACATAGGAACATAGAGGATACTATCATCACAACCAGTAGCTGAACTCAATGCAGATTGAGATATCTCAGAATTTTATGCACCATGAGTCATCAAAATAGACATGGGACACATCCAAAAAACTTATTTAAAAGCTCAAAATGTGGCTGTAATCTATAAGTTGAGGCAAGGCTTGTTCATACCAAACTAGATAACCTTTTTGTTACATAGTATATTCATGTAAGAATGGCTTGTGGCAGGAGACAAAGCTGTACCAGAATCTCGAATTGAAATAAAAAGAAGCCAATAAAACTTTTAAGGAAGGGCTTGAGTTTTGAATCCTTGGCTGGTCTAAGCATGCTAAGATGCTAGATCAAATACCTCTGTCTCTCAATCTTACACTGATTCAGCTCTCACTACTGCAGAGAGAACAAATGAACATGGTCCAGACCAAAACCAAATAAAACCCTGAACCAATACAATTTATGGTATCCTTATTGCAACAAATCAATGAACACTACAACAGATGCAGAATAAAGCTAACTCTACAACAGACAAAAAAAAGGAAGTGGAGCCTTCAACTTCCTCAACAAAGAACAGAAAGAAAAGCTGCAAGACTTTCTTGAAACTTAAACAGCCACATAATCTTGTTGCTCATTCAGGTAAGTGTCTAGTTCATAGTTATTAGGTTCTCTCAACAAACCTTCCCACATACTGAATTCTCTGACTCACATGCTTTGTTCCATGATGACTTTAAACAAAGTCCTCTGCTAATAATGTAAAAGTTACTAGTAATGTATCTGTAATACACTTCCATAACTATTCTACTGTTAATAATCCAGTTCTAGTGACAAAAACCATAGATTGAGCTGTAAATGGCCAAGTGACTCACTCCTCACAAATCTTTAAAACCTACAAGCCTAGTTCTAATAATTACTACATCTTTGCTGCTGATGGAAAGCCCATCATGGTTAAAGGGGGAAATAATAATGATTCTTGTCAACACTTACATTAAAAATTGTCATTTGTGCTCCGAAATTCTCTAATTCTAGTGCATTTGTCAGGGATAACACTAGGTCATGCTAATTGACTACATTATCCTGAAAAGTCTCTTTCCATCCCATAAATTACATCTAGAGTTCAAAGTTCACCTTTCTTTGTTCTACCTAAAATATCTCAAAAGTTAGTGTCAATTAAAGCACTGTAGGCTAAGTCATTCATAACCCTTTCCTTTTGAAGAAATCTATTTTCCTGCTTTGCACGAGAATGTGGACTTTTTAACACATTGCATTGTGAGTGTTGTGAGGTTTGAAAGCATCATAGAGTACATTTTTCCAATTGACACCAAAATTTCAGGAACATTCCTTTCTTTGATGCATACAAATGTTTGGGAATCTTCTAGAATTTCAAAAGTTAAAGGAGCGGGAAGGTTTGTACCCTTTATTCATATTTGTACAAAATTAACTTAGGGTAAAGCTATCCTAGTGTTATCACAAATCAAAGATAGTGGTGTCATGGCATTGCAATGGCGGTTCTTTGGTGACCACCACAACAAGGCCATTGTGCATCAGATTTCCATCATGGCCACTTTGGACATCCCAGAATGGTGTCGTGGAACAGAGTTGTCAGAAATCCCAATCAACACTTTGTTAATATGTTTCTATAGATGTTGCATTTTTTTAATCTCTCTCATAATAATATTCTTCACGTTGTCAAGGGGAGAAGTTCCATGATGTTAAACAACTTTAGTTACCAACGCTTCACTTTACTGCTTTTCAAAATACACCCTATTCACTAAAACTAACCGTATCCATTCCTACATATTCAGAAAAACAAACAATGCATATCCTAAAACCCAAAGAATCATTCCATGTGAGAAAATCCCAGCCCCATTCAATAGCGTGCTCCAATTCCTACTGAAGATCATAGAGAAGAATCAGAAATGGAACCTTAATCTAGTCTTTTTTTGTTGAAACCCCTACTCCAGGTAAGGAGTAATCCTTTTAACCTGTGGAGCAGAAATCTAAAAATGATCTACCAATTGCAGTAAGAAAAGAAAGAAGTAGCACTAAACACTCCATATCCCATTACGTATCTTACCACAATAATTAGACAGATGCAATTCCTTCTTGCTAACCTTAAAGAATATACGAATTGGTCAAAAAGCATGAGCAATATAGAAATGTTTTAAGGCAAGATCTTAAAAATATCACATTTTGCATGAACTGATTTTGGGGTTGGATATCGGAAAATATACCCAAAATAATAATATATATTCATATAAATAAATAAAATGCAGAAATATAATTGCAATGCAAAAACAGTGAAAGACAAACATACAGTTAATAATAATAAGTCTATAAATTCAGTTAACAATAAAATCAAAGAAAAACACCACCAAGTTAAAGTTCAGGACTTTAAAAAAGGATTAAAATAAATGTTGAGTAGAAAAGGGGGAACAACAGAAAAAGGGGAGGGTGGCACTGCAGAAAAAACTACGAACTAGAAAAAAGAAGGAAAGAAAAAAAAGGGAAGGGTGTTAGTGAAGAATGAAAAAGGAAACAAAAAAAAAAATAGGAGGGTGATGATGAAGAACAAAAGAGAAAGTAGAAAAAAAGAAACAAGAATATATGGTTGGTTGCATTGCAAGAAACGGTCAGGCGGGACAGTGGCACTGCAGTGGAACAACAAGGGCAGAACATGTCACAGGCAGCAATGGAATAGGCCACATGTGGAGGCAGCACAAGCCACATGCAGCAGCAGCGCCAACGCCAATGGCAACGGTGGCTGACTGGGCAGCCATGGTTGCTGGACCAGAACTGCTGTGTGTTTTGTGGGTCGTGACTGGTAGTTTAGGGTTTTTAATTTTGGTTTGTGTTTGGGTTGGGTTGTATGACTGAACCCCTTTTAAAGAAAAAACTAATGAGCTTGAGTTGGGTATAAGGACCCATAACAATTTTAAAAACAATGAAATTAGGGGGTTGCATTGGTGTAGGGTAGGGTCATGCTGACCCAAGACTTCACCTTCTTTCTCACAACTAGACACAGGTCTGAGGCATGATTTCCACGATGCCATTTCCCAACGTCCAAAGCAGCCACAATGTGCTGCCACGGAAAACCTGATAGGCACTGCCATACTGTGGCAACTGATGATCTGCCATTGGTTTCTTCACCCCAGCCATTTTTAGACAACAGTAGTGTATAACTTCCTTGTATATATTCTTACTGAATATTTAACCAACATTATAACTTTCTATAATTAGCCAAGATAATAACTTCCCATAATTAACCAAGATTATAACTTCATATAAGAGGGAGCACATATACCAAGATTGCTATATTCTTACTGAATATTTAACCAGCATAAAACTTTCAGGTAAGTCAACTAAATCTAGAACCACGAAGGGAAGGAAAGCTTATAACCATAAAATTATGTAGCAGCAGGGCTAAAGAAAAGATTATAGGACGAATATAGAAATAAAAAATTATTTGAGGATGCCAAAAGAAAACATAAAATTCATTGAGCTACACTCTGTCCCTCAGAATCGGATAAACAGAAAAATATTAACTAAATCAAGGATCTAACCTGAAGAACATAAGAATGAAAATTACTAAAGAAAAAATTGACACAGAGGATCAGGCAGAAACCATAAAATTTGGATACAGGCATTCACAATCACAAAGCCTAACTTGGGATCCAGTATATTAAACATTTATATCTGACAAAATCGCTAGAAGCAGTACTCTCAAGTTATATGTCATACCATCTCACATCAAATAAATTACTACAGGTTATTGATAGTGTTCATTAGGCTAAATTTTGAGATTTAAGACTTTTAAGAGTCAGTTTTGCATGAATTGATTTAGGGAAATCAGTGTTGTGCTATATTATTTCCAGCAAAACCAAATCAATGAAATATGAAAAAGAATACCACAATTAAACCTTACACTATCCCTAGGTCAAACAAGATACTAACAATGTCACATATAAAACATGAGCACTATCCCTAGGTCAAGCAACTTGGTTTGAAATTTCATCATGTCTATTCGTTTCCTTATAAAATATGAGCACTATATGTATAACAATAGTAACTCAATCAAATGAGACAAGGATTTGAATACATACATTTGTTGGGTTCCAAAGAAGTAAACAAATACTTTCTTGCGATCAGCAGAGTAACCCCACTTCTGCGGCTCATCCACCTGCCCCAAGAACAAAAAATAAGTTAATCAGCAAACAAAATCTTCATAAAATACAAACGAATAGGCGAAAAAGTGTCCAACAGTCCATAACAAACATATAAGCTACACAGGACATTTGAAAATGCAAAGCAAAGCATCAAATTGTTTAACTAATGGTCCATAGTCTCTTACGTTCTATATATCTGCTGCTAACCAAAGTCCGGGAGCCTCTAGGCCCCAACTAACTCATTAATCAAATATCTCCACAAGATAATCATTTGATTAAGCCAATATCCATATGAAAATTTGACACAACAAATACAAATCTAAGCTAACGGCAGACCACATAAACATGGCCAGACCCAAAAACCGTCATTCAAATACAACATAAACATAAAAAAACAAAGCTAAAAAGAAATCCGGATTAATTGAAACAAAACCGGGCAACCACTTACACCATACTTAAGCTAAGACAAACCAAATAATCAAGGTCAGACCCCAAAACTTTAAAAAACAAAACAAAAACCCGAATTAATTGATTAATCCCATGCACGCACTTTTCACTACACCATACTTCAGCAAAGGAGAACTAACAAAACAAGCAATCCAAGGGAGTGTTATGTTATTCTAGACAGCAAAACACAATCAATCCAAAAACTCAAGCATTCACTTAAAAGTTAGCAGGCAACACTCACCGTCGCAGGCCAAACAGGGAATCCCTTAACCTTAGCAAGCACGAGATCGCCGACCTTAAACTGACTGCAAGCGGCGGCCGCCGCCGCTTTTTTTCCGCCCTTTCTCCGACTAGGCGGCATGGCAGGTAACAGTTCCTGATTCGCTCCGAATCGAGGCGCAAAAGTGAACGGCGAAGGAACTTGGGAAAAGGATCGAAGGAGCTGGCAGGGCTGGGAATTGGCAGAGAGAATTAGCAGGCATTGGGAATGGGGAAAACCCTAATTAGGAAGAGAGTTTGAGTGAGAGTGAAAAACATGAGATGAGAGAATAGAGAAGAGTTCATTAGGTGAGGCTCGGAAGAAGAAAAAAGAAGAAGGTGCTGCTGGTGGTAGCGGTGTGGTGGTGGTGGCTTAGTTTAGGGTGCGCAAGGTTCTGAGTATATGCATTCACACACTCCGTGAAGTGCGCTAACGTGCACTCTGTGCGCGAACTGTAAAATGTAAACAAATAAACCCTCTTTTCTTCACTCTTCCATGTCACCACCCCCTCAAACAATCCTTAATTGGAGTCTATCACCATGTCTATCATAAATCATTTTACCTACTTCTTAATTTATTTATTTTTTCTATATCTTAATTTTTTTTTCTATATCAATTCTTTTTCAAATTTTTAATCCAGACAAATGGAATTGTATGAAAAATAAAAAGTTTTCCTCAAAAAAAATATTGTTTATAATAAATAATATAAGTATTTAGTACAACATTAAAAACTTATATTTATAAACACAATGCTAATGAACCTACTTTGTTAATGATACTTTCAAAAATTTACTCACTCCACATAATTAATACAAAAAAATAAATAAAAGTTTGTCTCCAAGAAAATTTGTTCATAATAATTTTATTTATTTAATACAACAAGAAACACGAATACAGTGATGAAATTTAAATAAGCAATGTTAATAAACATACTCAAATGTGGATTTTTGTAAATACTCTATTATACTTGTTTATTTTTATTTTATTTTTTTTCTTTTTCATTTTAGTTAATTAATTTTCCTTGTTCCTTCTATAAATATTAGGTTCAAAATTTAATTGGACAAACATAATAATATGTCTGAAGATCAAGGATTAGACCAAATTTACAATAAAAAAAGGACTAAAATCACCAAAAATATATATAAGGAGTGAAAATTTCTATTCAAAGATTAAAAGAGAACAAAACCAAGATTTAGCTTAAAATACATATATAATAAGTTGTGTTGTTATTAGATTCTGAAATTTGTATACAAAATCATGAAATTTGTTATTAATTTTACCTATTGTAATTGAAAAATGGAGAAAAATTGGAAGATATTTTAAAATGTTTTGTTATCAACAAATTAAACTCGGGCCGTACCTATAAATAGACTCATCACGTGAATTATAAAATAATAATAATAATAATAAAAAAAAGAGATACAGAAAGTCAAAGTACAAAGTCACAAGATATAAAGTGATGACCTTTAACAAAATTGGATGATCTTCCTTATTTTAATTTTGTAATAAGTTATATTTTTCATTAAACATATTCAAATAAAACATAAAAAGTATGTGTTTGAGTTTATATATAAAATAATATTCAAATTAAACTAAACTAATGGTTCATCTGGATCATGCTTTTATTTTTATTTTCTTTAAAAATGTTTTTTCATAAACAAATTACAATAATTAAATCTTAAAAAGTTGTTTTTATTCTTTCCAAAAACTTTTTCTCTCTAATTGAAAATCATCCATAATAATTAGTTGACCAACATTATGTGTAACTATAAATAAAAATATTATAACTTTATTCAAAATTATAAATTGCAATTTTTCTTATTGAAGGTAGATACATTTAAAAGTTGGGATGGATAATTTTTGTTGTGTCTATTTACATAACAGACAAAAGTTTAATATAGGGTTTGAGTAAGGTATTTGGTAAATTTTAAGAAATTTAAATATATTTAATTTTTATTTTTTAAATATATTTACAATAATTTATTTTTTAAAATAATTATATAAATATAATAATTTTGTAATCTATTTAATAAAAATATTAATTAATAAATAAAAATTTTAAAATTATTAATATAATTTATTATATTTTAATATATATATATATATATATAATTTGTATAAAAAAAGTAATTATAGGACTCATGTGATTTCTCATCTTTTGATAGACAAAAATAAGACAAATAAAAATAAAGTGAATTGACCCATATAAATAATATTTTTTCCTTCTTTCATTTCTCACATATTACTTTTATAATCATAGAATAGGAATTCAACAATAACTATTTTTTTTAAATTAATATATGGGAATAAAAAATTAATATGACACTGTGATATATTATTCATTGTATAAAATTTCCACTGAAAATGTCATTTACCTAATTACTGAAATAATCATTGTAACCAATCATGTATCAACTATTCTATACTATTAAAATTTGTCAATAATATGATAAATACGTTAATTCAAATTCAATTATTCAATCTCATCTATTTTAAGTTCCAAAAAAAACATTTCTGACGTGTTCTAAAATTCAAAATAAAAAAATGCATTTAAATATTTGTTAAATAATTAAACTAATAAATTTGAAATAACATATTTAACCCTCCTCCTATCCCGTTCTTATTTTTCAACAATTGGTCATAATATTTTTTTTTCAAATATTTTCATGAAAGATATATTCTTTCTTTATTATTGTAGGATTTTTTTTTCAAACCGACAAAAAAAATACACAATTATATAAATGTCTATAAACATCACCTAACAGTACCATAATAACAAATTATTTAATATTAATGACATTTATCTATATTGTTACGTACCACATGACTTATAGTGCCATAGTTACAAATTATAATATTTTCTAAATGTTTAAACACACATTCAAGTACCGAAGGGCCACCTATATGAGGCACTACTAATAATTAAAATAAAATAATAATGAGAAAAATTAGTAACCTTCCATAAATATTAAAAAAAATTTGTGTTTTGACTTAATAGAAAAATTAGTAGCTTGTCCATGCATGTTTTAAGTGATCAAAACTTGTGAAGATTCTTGTTGTGTGATTATGCTGTCTGTTTTTTTTTTTTTTCATAAAATTAATATGTTATTTCTTTAAAAGATGAGACCCAAAGCTGTTTACAGTAACTTTTCTGTGTTCATCATGATAATATTAATGTGGGACATCTGACAACTTACCTATGCTTGAAAACAATTAATTAGAAAATATTTAGATAAAAATAAAAGTATATTAATAAAATTAATTTATATTTTAAATATAATAATTTAATATATAAATTATAAAATTATTTATTTATTTATTTTAAAAAATATATTATTTTTTATTATCATTATTTTTTAATATCTTGAAAATAATAATTTATCTTAATTATTATATTAAAAAAATAGATACTAAATATTTTTTATATTTATTATTAAAATAAGTAAATTTGATAAATTATTTTTTTAATATATCTATACACATGTATATTAATAAAATATCATTATTTTTTATTTAAAATATTTTATAAAACAGACTTGCATATATGCATTAGGTTGATCAAAACACATTTTGAATATGTTTAATTTAATTTAAATTATAATTTATTTTACTTAATTTAATCTATTTTTCTAATTTTCACAGGTTAATTATAATTTTACATATAATATATATTTTTTAATTTATTATCTAGTATATAATATATATATATATATATATATATATATATATAGTTAGTGTTTTACTTTTTAATATTGCTTTCATTAAAAATAATTATAATTTTCTTAATTTCTTAAAATTTATTTTCTATATATTAAATTTGAACTATTGTAAATTAATTTATTTTCTAATACATCATAAACAAATATTTTATATATAAAATCTAAAATATTATTTTTTTAAGAATTACTAATTAAAATTATACATAATATTAAAAAAAGAATTAATATTTTATTTTACTTCCTTTCACGAGTTTAAAATAATAAAAAATATTTTTATTGAAATGTATATTAATATATTTTGTCACTAATTGGTTTTTATACATAAAATGGTAAACATATAGTTATAACATAAAAAATATACATTATATACCTTCTTTTAATAATATTTTTACAAATAAAACATATTATCACTTTTAAAAAATTTATATTTCTTTTTGTTTATAATATAGTTAAAACATTTATATGTTGTTATCTTATTTATTAATAAATTAAATATATCTTAATTGATTATGCATTTAATTTTTTTTATCTTAATTAATATTTTATATTTTCGGTACTAAATTAATGAACAGAATACCAAAAAAAATGTGAATTAATAAAAGTAACAAATTTTTAGAGAGACTAAAATAAGATACCATAATATTTGTAAGAATTTAGAACATATTTAATTAACTCAATTATTTTATATGACTTCTAAATTGTGTAAGGATAAAAAATATATATTACCTTTCCTATTATATATAATTTTAATTTATTAATTCTAAAAATATAAAATATATTTTATTATTTTTTATCGTTAGAGATATAATTAATCTCTATGATATATTAAAAATTTATTTTATAATAATTCAATATTATAATATAAAAATAATACATAAAAATTAATTATAGACTTTAAGTAAAATATAAAAATATAATGATCTTATTTATATTAAATTATAAATGTATTCCATAATAAAAAATTATGTGATTAAAAAATATAATTACCTTATTTTAAAATATTTTTCCACTATAATTATAATATAATTTTTTAGTATTAAACTAACTATAATTAATAATATAAATCAGAATATATATATATATATATATATATATATATATATATATATATATATATATATATATATATATATATATATATAGGAATTAAAAAGGACACATAGAAGCATATTAACCATATTTAAACTCTTTATTTATGGAAGTATTTGGGTTTTGTTCCAACTTCCCTATCTCTAAGGTAAGTAGTGGCATCAGTAAGGGGTGAGTCCAAACCCAAAGTGAAAAAAAGAAAATGGTAAAAAAGGATGGTGACTATTTGACATGACTCCGAACCTTTTGGCGCCAACACAATGTCTCTTCTTCTATGCGCGCAAAGAGCGTAAT